CTCTTCCCAATCTATCAGGGAAGCACTATCCGTTCTGTACATGCGCTATCAGCTCATTTGAGCATGCGCATCCACATAAACATTCGGGTCGTTTTTCGATTTTATATTGTTAAAAGCATGAAAATTACATTTTCCCTCCTCAAAGATAGTGAAGGCACTAAAATATAATGTGTTAAAGGTTAACAATGTATTTCCTGAGAAATTAAATGCCTTAAAATCCTTTCTGTTTTATCACTCATCTCTGCCCAATCTGCACCGGATCCTGCGCTACTTCCGGTGGCTAACTTTTTCGGCTTTGGATTTAAACATAAATCTAGTCTTTTATGTTTTCGTTTTGTTTTAATCTTATGCTATATAGTGGGTAATCTAAAGAAGGAAACAACTAAAATGCAGATAAACATGGTTTGATCACATTTTGCCGGACTGCCCTGAGCATGTCCCATGATGACGTCAGAGAAGCAGTTTAAGGGAGAAAATGTAAAAAGCATAGAAATTGTCTCACAGAAGTCTTAAAACATTTGTTAAAGATGTTTATTAGCAATATTTGGTGAGACAAGGATAGAAATAAGTCGTTTTAGTACCATAATTACATTATTTTAGGACACCTGGATGTATATCTGTTCACGCATCTGCAGAATTGATCGTGCTTCCGGATCGGGTAGTGACACCCACTACTTTTTTCATCAACAAAATGTTCGGACAAATGGCATAACTACTATATAGCATCTTTAGTGATTAGGGCGGACGTTGAGACACAATCCATTACTAAAAAAGACTGAAGAGGACAAGCCAGCAAGCAAGTGTAAAATTAGCATCAGTCACAAGCTAGTTTAAGCGGAAAGTAAACCTTTTTAAATAACTTCCACCAAGGTGGGGTATAAACTTAGCCTAGTAAACTAGCCCCACCCACCAGCAGCCAAAATAATTTTTGCCTGCGAGTGGTCTAGCCTTGATGAATGCCCCAGGCCCAAGAACTGGCGGGCCACACAATGCAGAGATGAGTTTAGAATTTTTGGATGCAAAGCGGGCGGGGTTTTGAGGGTGTGACGACGAAGCTGCACGACGCTGGAGAAAGCACAACAAGGAAGATGTTGAACAGTTCTCGTTGGACTCACGTTTAGAATCAGTTTTGGAAGGATAAGACGTGGGTTTTTTGTTGAAACTTGAGCAGGAAGAGGCTCTACGCTCATTCATTTTTAAGAAGGACGTATTCGCCGTTTTACCAACAGGCTGTTTACACTCCCCCACCAGCTTTCTGTCGCCCCTTCCTACGTCACAGTCAGTTGCGCTCATTGATCAGAGCGTTGGCCAATAGGCACAGACATGGTTTGAAAAACAACAGGTTGTTCTCATCAACAATCTTCTGATGTCTCATTCATCGGGGCAAGAATAAATTACATATTTAATCTGGTTTATCAGGCTAGTTTAAACTGCTTCCTTAACTATAACTGACAATATATATATCCTCATTAGCAGCAACTGATTCAAATTTAAGAGGATTAAGTGGCTCGAAATTCTGACATTACTAGCACCATCACCAAGCTAGTCCAAGACATAAACAATCTTTTTAAATCAGTTCTTACAAGGTAACATCTAAACTCTTTCATTACTAACAACAGCTGTGATGTGTCATTCTTTGACAAGATTTTAACTGATTTTAAAATCCAAAATTTAAAAACACTTTGTTAAATATTTTTGATTTAACTAATTTTATTAATTTCAAATTTTTAAACTGACTTTCAAATGCCACAATCCAGTTGCATCCAAACAACTCAGCCACTGTATATATAGACCTCAGGCCAATAGCAAATCCACCAGAGATGCCTCTGATGGTGCCTTTCCTTAAAGCCTCTTTTTGCTCAAAGTACTCTCTGTACTTTGGAATTCAATCCCTATCAAATAAAAGTCTGGGACCAATTTAAACTTTTTTAAAAACAAAATAACTCAGGCTGTGTGAAAAACAGTACTGTATTCAAATTTAATATATTCAACTGCTGTGTTTGAGTCCCTCCCCTTTGGATTGTAACTGCATATGTTAACATCACTACAAATTCTTTGAACACAACTTTATTTGTATGCGTATTGTTCATAGAAGCCCAAGTGCTCCAAATTAGCTAACATTATTAACACCATGATATCAGCATGGGACTGCTGTTTTATCCAGCTTGTCTCTGTCGTTGTGCATCTGTTCCTATAAAATAAGCAATAAAATAAAAATGTGACCTTGAAAACCTCATTAGCAATGTCTTCTTCAGAATAAAATGAGCATTAAGGCTTTCAGACTAGTTGAAGAAAGCGTTTTAATCAGTTTTAACAAGGCGGATGTAAACATTTTTTGTATTATCTTAAATTATTGCTCTATTTTGCGAACAATCCTAACCACAACTCTCACAAGCTTATCAGGCATATCATTACGACCAACAACCTAGCAATGTGTTGGTTTGCGCTTCTTCCTGTTCTGACCCCGGGAGGCATGGCACGCACGGGATGCCAGCAGCATTCGGCACCAGGATAATAGCTTTAATTCCAGTAAACTGGAAGCTATTGGACTGATTTTTCCTGCACATCCTAAAAATGCTTAATTGAAAATCTGAGGAATTAGGTAAAGTAAGTAACTCAAAGTGCTTGTGATGTTTCACAATCATTTCCTGAGCCATTTATTTTGGTTTGAGGAAGGGTGTAGTATCCTGTTGAAACAATGCAGCATTTTCTCATAGTGCATCCTAATGCCATGATAAACATCTAATATCTAACAGCAAGTGTAAGTCTCCTCTTCTATTGCTCTGTAGTCCAGTCTTATGCCAGTGTTATTATCATTTGTGTACAGGCCTCAGCATTGGTTCACTGACTGGTTTGTTTTCCATCAGAGGCAGCATTAACTTCATCAGCATCATGAGCTGCATCAGCTTTAAGGAACCTTGTGACTCTGTCAGTGGTGACAGAACTAAAGTGGTGGACTCATTTCATGTTTGATAGCAGTTGACCACTGCAACATCTGAATGTTCTTCCAACTTCTAAAATGTCGACTTTGGGGACAAAATGTCCCATTGCTGCTGAATGTATCCAAAACTCTAACAGGTAAATTAAAGAAAACATAATTAAGATTGTTTGGAGTGAACTTTCACCTCTTTCATATTTCTTAACTGTGCAATTTTGGTTGTTTCATATACAACATTTATTAGGTAAGAAATGGTGGAATGTTATCACGTATTCATTCATATTGGCCTGGCAGATGTTGTGAACTGCCTTTAACAAGTGAATTTTAAAGATATGTTCCAGGTTATACGATCTAGTTTGCAGAAAGGTGGTTACACAGCTTATTGAGTAATATTTCAGTAAATAACACTTGATTAAATAATATCTACCAAGAGAAAGCTGCTTAGAGTAATTTTTCCTTTAATCTGGGATTATAATCTCTCGTATTTCAAACGATTCAATGGCACTATATAGGATTGAAACCAAATAACTGGAAAAAGAGGGAAACAGATGTTAACATAAAATTTAATTAAACTACAAATAAGAACGCAGCATTTTATCTTTTTACTGCCATCCTTTATATGAAGGAAATATATAAAACAACAGATTGGGTAAATTTGAAATTTTCATCTAAATAAATTTTAGATGAAAATTGAAGATGAAATTGTCCAGAGAGCTGTTCCAAACGAAATTTATTTTTGTTTAGCACTTGTGTAAACAAAATGACAAATAAAATCTGTCTAAGTAAATGGTCGTGGTATGGTTAATTTAACAGCATAAAGTGGATGCTAAATGTAGAAACCAGCGAAGGGAATAAAATACCCGATATTGTACCTTGAACGAATCATAATGTTATGCCTTAGCAGTGTCATATTTGTTTAGAATAATTTTAAATATACAAGTCTTGCTGAATCTAGAGGGAAATAGATTAAGCAAAACGCTTTAAATAAAATGATATCCAGATATTTTAATTTCCTTACAAACTGATCTTGACTGCATTGCATTCAGGGGTGGAGCTAGATGGGAGGCCAGGGGTGGCCATGGCTACCCTTAGCCAATCATTGCCCACTCCTGTAGCCATCCATACCATTTTCCCCCCTCCAATACAGATGGTGTCAGCAGTAATACTCTCAGGTGGAATATTTAAAACATTTAAAACTTTCATATATTAACCATTACTTGACAACAAAAACACTGTGGTTAATTATGCACATTAAAATACTAACATTAAAGATGATAAGTAGATTTCTGTTTTATGGGGTAAAGAGAAAATGATGAGTCTCTGCAAGTCATTTAGGAGTCTTCAGTGAAATCATAAATAAATAACTATTTTAATAAAAACGTATTAAAAAATACATTTATGTAGATATTAGTACTTGTAAATATCAATTTTATTCAGAATGATTGTTGATAAAAGTAGGTAAATAAAGACAATGGAAAAGATGTTCATCCAAAACTCCACTTTACCTTTTATCTAGAAAGCAGGGATGTTTAAATCTATGTGTCTATTTGTTAGCAAAGGCTGTAGGAAAGTATAGTTTGTCTTTATTTAGAAAATATGGATGTTTTGCTTGTTAATTGTTGTTCTCGTTAACACCCCTCAGTGCACATTAGTTATTGCCTGGCCACCCTAATAAGCATTTCCTGGCTACGCCTCTGATTGCATTAGATGGACAGCACTGACCTAGATTTAAATTAAAGTCTCTTTAGATGACATTTGTGGAGAACTGTCAGACAAAACTAAATAATAATTTATTATTATCTCCAAACATTACTTTTGAAAAGCTATAAATTTAGATTAGTTTACAGACTAAAATTCAACCCCCAACATAAATGTTTTGTTTAGTTTTTTTTAGCCTTGTGCTGAAGTGTGTCTCTGATCTGAAGTGATGGCCATCAGATGTGGCAGCAGGCCTCGGCAGAGATGTGCTGTGACATAATTTCTGGACAAGCCAGTGCGTTTTTGTTGCTATTAATAAAACCCTTTTTTCAGTCCAACAACAACAGAGAGGGAAACAACCTACCGAGCAGCAGCAGCCGATGCGTCTGTTTATACTCCCTCTTGAGCTCCTTAAGCACCCTGTCAATATCTTTACTGACTTTCCTCGCCTCCTTCTCGGCCTCCCTCTCCTCCACCAGCAGTCTGTCCCAATGTTTCTGCTTCTGGCTGCTGTTTTTGAGCGGCAGCTGCAAGCGTCGGCTGCGCTCCTTCCCTGCGCCCTTGCCGCTGCTGCCTCCTCCGTTCTGAATAAGCACCCCGTCTGTCCCGGTGTCCCCGCGGCGGTGCTCCCTAGCTGGGTCCCCTGTGCGCACCGGGCCTCCGCCGCGTAGCGATGAAGTCTCCCCACATCCTGCGGCGTCCTCCTGGCGAGCTGCCCCGGCGCGGCTCGGCACGACGGCGGCGTCCGGAGGCTGGTCCGAGTCCGAGGTAGCGTTGGAAATAGAGCCGCTCAGGTCCCCGAAGAGCCGGGGACGCAAACTGTAGCACAGCCCCATGTTAAAACCAATATTAGTCTGTGAATGTGATTTTTCATAAATCAAAATATTAAAGAAAATCGCAGATGCGCCACCGAAACCCCCTCCCTTAACGAGCCATCGTCACATTCGAGCTCCAGCGACGCGATTTAAATCCGAATCCAAGGCGAAAATACGAATGAATTACGCTCAGACATTTGCTATATGTCATCTTGCATTTCCCCCCCTCCAGTCAGCCTTCGCTCGGTAGATAGTGGATCACCTGATCGTTGAGTGGACACTGCGGGTCCACCTTACCGTAAGTAACCAAAAGCGCAGCCTGGGAGAAACGCCGCGGCTGTCCACTGAGCGCAAATCCGCCTGCACAGTTCTTAGGTGCAATGCAAGAAGAAGGTGCGTCATGTTACTATAGTATGGCCATTTCAAGAATGCTGGCCACGATTTTCATTCCTCACATTTCATGCCCGCATGTCTGCAGAAGGAGGAGCTGCTCAGAGACAGAAGAATGTAAATATTTGTTGAAAAACGTGCGCTCCCAACAATGTTTATGCCATAAATCCCATATTTTCATGTTTATTTATATTCATTCTCTAAACTTCCCAGCTACTTTTCTAATTCCAGTTCATAGACTAATTTTCAGTCTATCAGTGATTTACAATTTTAAATAACCTCTCAACATAAGAGATATATCCCAGTGTTTACTTGCAAATACATCAATCAATTATCTTTTTAAGTATTATGGAGCTAGAGTTTAGTTGAAATCATCTAAACTTATTTTATTTATACTCATATCAAAATATAATGAACTTTTAATTTGACAGGAATTAACGAGTTTAGGGAATTAGGTCAAATACTTATTCTTATTATGTGGGGCAATGTACGCAATAAAATCAAGTAAATTGAAAGTAGATTGCTTTAGCAACCTTATATGGGTTAAAAAAAAAAAACTTAAACAAAATAAGACAGGAAAACAGGAGTCTCTAAACTTCCCTGCTCCTTTTCTAATTGCAGTTCATAGAATTCATTTAAGTCTACTAGTAACTTTAAAAAAAAACATATCAATTTACACTTTTAAAAGCTTTTAATCTCTCAACATAATTGATATATCCCAATGTTCACTTGCAGTTACATCAATCAATTATCTTTTATAGTATTATGGAGCTAGAGTTCAGTTGAAAACATCTAAACTTATATTATTTATACTCATCTCATATATCATGAACTTTTGGTTTGATACAAATTAACGAGTTTAGGGAATGAGGTCAATTAGGTATCATACCTATTCTTATTATGTGGGACAATGTACGCAATAAAATCAAGTAAATTGAAAGTAAATTGCTTTAGCAAACTTATGTGGGTTAGAAAACAAAACTTCAACAAAATAAGAGAAAACGTGCAGGCATCAAATTAAACCACTAGATGGAGAACATGTAAGGTAAATTATATAAAAAAAAATTCTAGTTGTTAGATTTATGGATGCTTTGGAGTAGGCAATATCTAATTACATATAACCCAGCTCAGTGAAAAAGAGTACTGATATGTAATTGAGATATTACAAATATAATAGACCAAATTATACAAAACTATGAGCTATATCAATATCAGTGTAATAATGTAGAAAGCGAATGCTCTACCTGGACTCAAAAAAGGTAGTTTTTCTTCCATGTAACAGAAAATTAAGCATCTTACCTGTTCTGTGGCAGCCAACTGAGTCCTGCAATGCTGATGATATAATCTTTTAAACCGACTTTATGATTACTACCAGATTGTTGAATATAAATAAACTTTAGCCTAATTGCTGAATATAACGGGATAAGGAAGACATTTTATTCTTAGGATGAGTGCCTAAATCTCAGAGTTTAAGGTAAGACGTATACAGACATACACGGAATTAATATAATTGTCATTTAACTTGATTTTAATCTAAGTTAGGTTACAGTTGGTGTTAAGAATAACAATCTTTAAATCTTAACAGGCTGGAGGAGGAGCATCATCTTAAACATTAGTTCCTCTTTACAAAAATTACAAATTGGATTTCTGGCTGTTTTAACACATGTATACACCGCCACCCAAAGCTCAGGTTTTTGCAGCTTCTAACAGTTTTTTTGTTGTTTGTTTTTTGCAGGACTACCATGTTTATGCAGATTGACATATGAAGTGCTTTCTTTGCATTTGAAGAGACCGTACCAAAACAAGGTACTTCTTAAAAGCACCTCAGATCTGGAGTATAAGGGGCTCCTGAGGAGCCACAGCATAGAACAAAACTGAAGGATTAAAATGTGAGAAGGAAGGATTTAAGAGCAGGATTTGTATTTGTAGCAGGATTTGTATTTTTTGCAAATCAAAATACTGTCCCCCTAGTAGTAGCAGTGGAAGTAGTTGTGAGAAAATAAACATACAATTTGCATTCACAATTACATTGTTAACTCTTATTTTAAAAGATTATTTGCTCAGCTCTAGTGGCCTTTATTTTGTTGTTCTTGAAAGTTTGCAGACAGGAAATAGGCTAAGAGAGGGGAGAGACATTTGGCAAAGGTCAGCAGGGCGGGGTCTTGAAACTTCAACACATCATTCTCTCGACCTCCATGCCAGAGAAGCACCTCACTATCAACTCTTTAAGTTGAAGCACACATAATACAATACAACAAAGTAAAGTAAGGATTTCTTTGGACATTTTCATGATGATGTTAGTTCTAAAGCTTATTTTTCAGGTGTTAATAAAAGAAGTCTTTATTCTCCAATGGAGGATCAGGATCAGAAGTGCTCATATTTGAACAAAGATAAGACAAGTACATCTATCTAGTTAAAGGTAAGGGACAGCTATCCTTTGAGGTGCTAAAAAACACAAACCTTCACTTCTAGGGTCCTTATTTTACTGTGTGTGATCCAATACAGTGTCCTGGGGTAGTTTAAAGCTATGCTTTTAATCTCCCAATCTGATGTAAACCACATAAAGAGATCAATGGCTACAGGAACATTAGACATTTCATTAATATATTATCATGCTTGGGGTGTCATTTATGGAATAAAACTTTTTATTGCATATATTTTAATACAAAAAATGTATTGGACAAAACATTTCTTCACTTTTTTGTCCAATAAAGGAGCAACCGCCGCAATGTTTTTCTATAGCTACCTTTTCTATATTAAGAAAAGTTCACGTTTCTTATAGAAAAACATTGTTTTGATCATTCTTACTGTGTTCATACATAAATCCTTAAATAGTTTTTTTTTAAATGCAGTTTGGTCCTTTCATGTTTATTCAAATAAAACAAAAACAGTGGGTGAGTAGACATTGCTTTTAATTTTTAAGCAAAGTTTGCATATATAGAAAAATATACTATTCCATACCATTTTTAGCCATACTGCAAAACAGAACAGACAACAAGCTGGGAATGTTTAACAATCCTTTTGCACAATTAAAAGGCAAATTCAAGATTTATGTGGTCCTGGCTTTAGCATTCCAACGATGATCTTTGTCAGCATGAGCACACTAAAAACAAAAAATAAATTAATGGCATTTTAAAAGAAAAAAAAATGTATCCCTCAGAGGAGGAAACATTACTGTACCTCAGTAAAGTCATTAAACCAGCTGGCATGAACTTCCAGGAGTTTAAAAATCTCAGTCCCATCACTACAGCCAAAGTTCCCGCGGTGCCTGCATGAACAGGAAAACATGATGGGCAGATGAAAGCTGCCCCCATCATAGTACTACCTTTAGTTGAACAAAGTGAGCAAACTCACCCAATGAAAGCCACACATTTCTGGGATTCTGAGATGTTAGATAAGCACCGCCGGCAGCCAACAGGCCGAACAGGAGACCAGCTACCAGAGAGGTGACGCTGCCTGTGGGGGCGATTGTCATACTTCTGTTAAACCTCTCCTTCAAACGAAACAATAGTCCAGAATGTTGTGCAAACTCTTAACAGTTTATATTTTGTCTAGCAGGACCTTGTTATATCCTTTTGGGTATTTTCCCTTTTTTGCTTTTAAACTATTGATATGTCAGAGGGTAACCAGTGTCAGAGTATTCATTTTAGTCACAACCACAAACAATGTATTTTGTTGGGGCTTGATTGACCAACATTACATGTAGTTGTGAAGAAGAAAAATACCATTTATAATTTTAAAATTCTTTGCAAATAAAAATCTTAAATTTTCACTTCGTTTTGAGCCCCCTTACTCAGCTTCTGATTTCAAAGTTTGAGGTGCTCTGTTAAAAATAGTCACAGGCAAACAGGTTCCTTGAATTTGTTTAATAAGAAAGAAAGATCCTTAAACTTGTGTTTTAAAATGAAGGCATTTCTTGAACCAATTTTAACTGAAGCAGGATATATTTATCAGAGTTATGTGTCTGAAATTTCATTGATTATTAAGAAAATTGCACCAAACTGCAACTGAGTCAAGTCGGTTGCTTATCTTTGGCCTGCACTAACCTAATAATAATTGCCTGGTTCTGCTGGAGGTTTCTTCCTGTTAAAAGGGAGTTTTTTCCTCTCCACTGTCGCTACAAGCATGCTTAGTGTGAGGGATTGCATCCGAGTCAATGAGTCGATCAACTGGTTTTCCTTAGATAGAAAACTCTGAATCAATTTGACTGTATGATCTGGTGAACTGTAAAGTAACTTGAGATGATGTGCTGTGAATTGGCGCTATAGAAATAAACTGAATTGAATAATTACTTCTTTTTTTTTATTTGTATCTGAACGCAGGGTAGAGATGAAAGCTAGCAATATACGATAAAAACATTTTGAAAATGGACTGATTATATCAAAATATTCTTATTTTGATGTCATATTTGTTTACCCATCTTTTCACTTAGTTTTGTTAAGGTTTTTAAATTTCAGGGAGTTGTGTTTAACTAGTTTAAAAGCAAATTATTTTTCCAGTATATTTCATACAACCAGCAAAACTTAATTTTAAAAGTCTGCGGTGTCTATTCTATATGATTAAAAAGCATACCTGCTTTAGCATAACCTATAATTCCACCTGCTGACACACACAGAGCATAGCAAAAACCAATCCAGTCCATGACGGAACAAATCCCGTTTTACGTCACTAAAGCCAAAAAGAGGAAATAGATATTTACAATACAAGCAACTTAATGCTATCCTTGGTTAAAAAATATGCTTCGTTAATGGAAGGCTAAGTAACTACGAAAACCCATTAAAATTGTTACCCGGAAGTTTATTGGTCCAATCACTTCCGCTGTAACGGAAGTAAACCTTTCACAATAAAAGTTCCAGCCAATCACACTCAACTTTAAAATCTTCTGAATTAAAATATAATGAAATTTAAAACCTTTCATAATTTTACTGGAATGACAAAAATTCAAATAATTAATGATTCAGGTAACATAGGAACATATTTTAAATATTTAAAATTTCACCAAAAATATAAGAAATACAATATAAAATTATAGTTATTATCCAAGAGCAGAAACTCTTAAGATTTGGATTTGAGGTGGATGCTTGCGTATTTTGCCTTGAAGAACCACAAACTTTTGAGCATCTCTTCTATTCGTGTCGAGTCACAGGTTGCTTTTGGCAGAACCTGCATATTTGGTTAAGACCTTTTGAAATAAATCAAATATTAACATACAAGAATGACATTGCGAAGGATTTATCTGACATGGTCAATATTGTTATAAGTATGGTAAGATATCAGTACATGTATGTAAATGGAAAAATCTAAAACCTTCATTAATAAGTTTCAAAAACAAACTCAAAATCTTCTATTCATCTTAATGTCTGTTAGCAGACAATTATGGACACATACAAAAACTTTGTAGTGACATGTCAAAATTTCTGGTTTTATGACAAAATGCTAAAGTAACATGATGCAAGTTACTGTTTTGGCACAGAATGAGTCCGTCTCTTATTCTTTTTTAAGTTGCCTCGCACAAGTTGATCTACTGTATATAACTGTTAGTTTCTCTTTTTTTGTAAGACAGAAAAGTCGAGATTCCTACTTGAAAATGTAAATTGTTTTTGTTCAACAAAAAGTATCAAAATATAAACTACCGATATTGATACATAAAAACCAAAAGAGAGAAACAACATATCAATACAAAATATTTAACACGCATTATTTAGCAATATCGGCCTTTACACTAACCCTTGAAAAAGTCAAACACTCTCAAAAGCTTATAAACAAAACATTTTATTGTACTTTTATTTACATTCAGATTTAATAGAAAAAAAACTCAGTAATAGCTAACTAAAATTTTATCAATTTTTATTTTAATCTGAATATTTTGGCAAACAGACATATGATTAAAGTATCATATTGCTGCAAAGAATGTTTGTATTAATAGCAAAGGGTAGTGGATTGTGTGGACACAAATATGTAGAACTTAATAGATATTTTTAAAAAAACAACAAAAAAAGCAATCTGGCACCGCAAATGTTCAAAGTAAACTGAAACAGAGGCATAGACTGGTTCAGACATTTTTATTGTTTGACCGCATTTTTTCCGCCAACTTTTTTCTTCTTCTTTTTAGGTTTGCTCTCATCCTCCACAATTACTTCTTCCATCGTCTCTCTGACCCTTTTCTTCTTGGTAAGTTCTTGAGTGAGATCTGAGCAGAAAAAGACAATTTTACATTCTAAAAAGTTGCTTGATTTGAGTTGCAAGATGCTCTATAACAAACATAACACAAGTACCAAATAAAGGTTGAAGTGACTGCTCTGTTACTTTAAGCCATGCCAAAATGCTAATAATTCTTTTAATTTTCTTTAAAAAAAAATACAGTTGCATGTAACAGCTAAGTCTTAAAGATCCTAAAACAAGTTTGCAGAGTAAGATTAAAGCCAATGTTTTCAGCACTCCACCTTCAGATGTCGCTGTCTCAGATGGACCTTCGGATATCTGCTGCGCTGACGAAGGTCTCCACACAGCCAGGCACGTCAGTCTAGCTGTTGTGTTGATTTCCCCAAGTAGGATAGGGGGTTCCAGTTCCTGATTAGCAGCAGAAATACACAATCAGTATCTTATAAAATATTTCTTTAATTGGCAACCCTTTTTTTTTTAAAGTGTTGATGACATGGTATTGTCATTTTCTTGTATTTTTTTGTAGACCAAAACGTTAATACTAATGATCAATGTAATAATTCCGATGGTACCTACATAAAATAGTTTTGAATCAAAAAGACCTCTGCCATTCAGAGGACTCTAGCACCGCTCAGTTAATGAAGGAGAAAGGTTCAAAGTAAAACAACTGAGAACTGGAACAGATCTTTTTTTTTTTTTTTAAGGAGAGCAGCTAAAGTTTTCATTGCTTAAGATCCAGCTATGCCTTTGCCTTGGGTTGCAGCTTTTTGCTTCAATCCACATAAAGATGGCGTCTGTTTATTTAAGTTTCATGAGCTGCTTTAAAGTGGGTGAAGCAGGTCTGATAAGATCAGGAGAAGTTGAAGCACTACATGGTGTGTCTTCTGTCCTTGGAGCATTTTGAGAAGGACGTGTTTTTGAATTCTGTTCCCTAATTGAAAGACTTTCTTGATTGTTCGGAAAAATACTAAAGTGAGGAGCAGCGAACCACCATACCTATGACGCCCCCTGAGGGAGAGAGAGAAAATTAGCTGGTCTACGAGTCAGACACGGACGGATTGTCCTTAAGAGCCATGTGATGTCGCTCCAAGCGCCTCACTTCAAGCTACACATCTGAGCAAAAAATAAAAAAAATATACAGAAAGAACTGGAGGCTGATGTGAAGCTTAGATTACTATGATCACTGCCAATTTTTTTTGGTAATAACATAAATCTGTGTTCTGTATTAGGCGTTTTATAGATCCATGGTTTTAACAGAAGCTTCAGAGGAATGTATGCTGTGTTATTTATAGAGGCGGTGGGGTTGCCCATTGTTTTTGGGATGGAAACAGGCAGATCCAACAACCCTGGCAACGATGGGAGTATAGAGTTGCTAGTTATTCCTTTAAGAATATAGAAAATAATTGATTGGAAAAGCTGCAAAAGATGTATTTGAAACTCGCGTTAATTTAAAGAACTAAATTATATACCGACTTCTATTTATACACTAATACCTGGTTATACTATCAGCACCAAAGGCGCAGCCATGTTTCCCGGTTGTGTGTTTTCCACCAGGTATGCTGTTGTCATATACCGTCTCCCTCTGGCTCAGAGTCTGACTCTGTAGGCTAGAGGTTCGCTATGGAAGGTGTGATGCCTCCATATTCAAAAATAACATAAAAAATTACAAGATCACGTAATCAACACTTTAATGCATTGTTAATCCCACTATTACCGATAAGACTTAAAGATTGAAACACTCACCCCACCACAAGATTTAGGTCTGAGATGTCTATAGCTTTCTGGTATTTTAAACAGGTTATGGAGAAACAGGCCCACAGCACCACACATCTTCCACCTACCCTTGCAGTTAGCATAGCTTTACAGATTTTGTTTTAAATATATCTAATTGTCTCTTCTTGCTGTACATGTGGAACATTTTAGCTAAGAAGCTAATTTTCGTAGACCTTTTCTTGATGTACCGGTAAGTAAATGTTAATTTCTGCATGTTTTTCTGTTTTTCCTTCTAAAGAATAAAAAAAAAAACGATTTCTCTGTCAATTCAATCAATGTACTAAAATAAAAGAGTTAGAAGATGGCTTATTTAATTTTTTACACATTCTACTATTAGGTAGCACTCAAAATTTCAGTGTATTGATAATCATATATTCTGATTCATGGTGACAAAAGAACAAAGACAAACCTCATTGAGGTGGATTTTCCACATTTTGATGTAACCATCATTTGAGGCCGTTAACAGCACGCAGTAATCATCCACCATCAAACTATCGACAGCCTTTACCCTGAAACCACAGACATGAAACAATAACATACCCGGTTTTCTACAGTAGAGCAAAGAATCATTCATACCCCTGGCCAATTTGGTTCTGGAGTTTTCTTTTAACTTTACCAGGAGGTTTCTAGTGATAGAAATATAAATAATTTGGACTGGCCTGGATAGAGTCCTAACTTGGATCTGAGAGAAAACCAGTGTAGGAAGCAAAAGACGAGGGTGACGGTTAGGAGGCCATCAAAACCTCAAACTCTTGGAGCTCCTCATTAAAAATAAATGTGTCGAATACCAGTGGAAACATGGAAGAACTGGTCAGCAATCATAATAAGGTTTTGATTGCAGAAAGAATTTTTTCATTGATAATAGATTTCTTTTTGTAATATGCCAGGTTTTAATAACATTTTTAATGTAACATTGTTTTATTATCCTCTGAGAGATGCCTATCTAAATATTCCAGGGATATAAATAAATGATATATATTTTACCCTTATTTCTCATGAGGCTACCGCTGTCAAGCACTTATCATATTAAAAGATAATGTATAAAATATTAAATGCATTATTCATACAGAGATGGGTTATATTGTATAAGGGCAAAGACAATCCTAAATCTTACCTTGTTTCATGAGCCTTGAACTCACAAACCAATTTAGCTTTCACAACATCACAGATCCTCACGGTTTCATCATCTCCTGCAACAGCCAGGACCGAGTTCTGAAAGACAAACAAGGCTCAGAACCCCATGTTCAAATAGAGTGCTTCATTAATCCATTTTACTCTCCTTACTGATACCGTACTGTATGAAACGGGAAACAAACCCTTTTCAGGCCAGGAAAGGAGACAAATTTTTTTTCTAAGATTCAAAAGTTTTTAATCTTTTTATTCTTCATAGCCCAGTGCCCTGTTAGTCAGCCTCAAAAAAATAAAAAAAATATAAAAAATGAATAAATAAAAAAAATAAAAATACAAACACATACAGTTTTCAAGGGAAGCGGCAGCCTTGTGGTTAGGGCATAGAGCATGGAAACCGGAGGAGCTCCACTCCCACAGACTGCCACTCTGGGTCTCTGAGCAAAGACCTTTAACCCCACACTGCTCCCCTGTTGCCGCACAATGGCAGCCCACTGCTCCCAAAGGAGATGGGTTAAATGCAGAGGGTTCATTTCATTGCTCTGTAATTGTGACAGACAATAAAAGCTGGAAAAACACAAAAACAACTTTTTTCCAATTGAAGGATGTGTGATATTTATCCTCATTATTGGCCAGTGTAAGTCATATTTTCGAAATAATATATCTATCCCATAAGTAAAACTGTGCTGAAATCAGCAATCAATGTTCAATTCTATATTATTGTCCTGTGTGCTTCGCAATTTCAATGTCCAAACATTGGTGTTTGGACATAAACAATGTCAGCAGTGACTTTTTTTTCAGTGTCCTGAAAGAGTAGGAAAATGCAAGTCATATTGGTAAATACTGGTTGTCTGTACTGACAGCAAATATAAAATTTACCCAAATGTTAATATTAGAGCAGGGCAATATGGCCCAAAAAATTTAATCACATATTTTTTTTATTTATTCGAATTACGATTTTTTTCCGGATCCCGATTTTATTCCTTTTATCAAGACTAACTTCCTACTCTCATCGGTAGCCATGATTTTGCTTGCCGATCTGCACTGTGGGAGTAATGCTACATTCACACCACAAGCAGCAGGAGCAGCAAAAATGCCTATGCTGCTTAATTTTTTATGCTTGCACAAGTTTAGTTCTGATTCACAGCTGATGCATCTTTGATGGTTGAGCTGCGCGGTCCAAAAGTGGGTCTGATGAGCGTTGGACGGAGCTAAACTATTATTTCTTTACCTGTAACAATGGCAGCTATATTTGCTGTGGTCAGTGGGTAAAAAGTGGTTTTAATACGAAAGTCCACCTAAAAAAACTTCATCTGTGCAGTCAGTTCATCAAGATTACGATCCTGCCTTCAAATATTATTTCCCTGTCAGAGCCGCTCAGACCTCCGTACACCGGAGGAGCTCTGTCACTAGGAACCCCGTTTAACAGCGGCCTCTGGCCCGGTCACCTCTTTGCGGTTTTCTGTTAGTGTTCACAGCGGCTGGAGGGCGTTTTTCACATATGTAATCCAAACTGGAGGCACCAGAATAATAAAATCGAACATATTTTACCGACAGGTTTCGACATTTTTAATTCATTTAGGCGTTAAAGAACTGTTTCAGAGGAGTGATGACAGCGATCTGCATCAGCAGTGATGTGTCTGTCTCCCTGCCAGCTCCCAGATCAGCTTCTCTCATTGGTTGATGTGGCGCGTCGTGCAGCAAAAGTTACATTTTTCCAACTCCAGCAGATGCTGCTTCTGAAGCGCGTCACATGCGTAAGGTCCTCAGAAGCTCCCGACACAATGCTCCTGCTTTTCAAAACGGGCTGTGGGACCTTTTGCTGCGTCAAGATCGTCAACCATTGACTTTGCATGTAAACTAGTAGCTTCTGCTGCCTGTGCTGTTGCGGTCTGAACGTAGCATCACGCTCCATCTAGGGAAGCTCCAGGGAGCCAAAATTGTGGCATTACACAAAAAAATCTATATATTTTTTTCTTTTTTTTAACTGCCCGAAAAAAAAAATCTGAATTAATTCAGTGAATCAATTTTTTGCCCAGGCCTATTTCATATTGGCGCATCCTTGATATGCGTGCCGCTCTGTTAACATTCATGACACCGAGTGTTGTTCTAGGAACTTACATTTAAGAACTTCACAGATGAGATTCTCTTCGGGTTTGTGACCGTTCCTGTTACAGACGCCGTCTCAAGCTTGTAGATATCAATTTTGTCGTTCACCACAACCACGTATCTGTCACCGTCTGGAGACCATCTGACTATTTGTGCATCTGAAAAAAGGTACAAAAAAAAACAAAAAAAAAAACAGATAATATAGCTATTTTCTAACAGAAACTAAAAGCTTCTATTTCCCATCCAGGTTGACGGCACACTTACTCTGTTTGATGTTTTTGATAAAAGCTGATCTTCCATTGATGAGATTCCAGGTCCTTTAAAATTAAACGGAGTGAAGTTTTCTTTAAACATCAGTAGTCCTTTCTTAAACAAAGACCTGAATTTATCATAATTGATAAATATTGAATAGAAATAAAACTGACTGTATGGATAAATATGATGAGCAAATGGATACAACTTTAACAAATTCGGACAGAGAAAGGGGTCTGGAAAACATTTCCTTTCATAAGGATACTCAAATATTCAGAGCTAGAACATCCTAAAATCAAATTTCCAATGTGGGAACCCTGAAAGTATGCTTCTGATGAGCTGTGAGTATTACCTCAGGGTCTTGTCTGTCCCAACTGACAGCGCTAGCTTCCCCGACGGATGTACAGAGAGTGAAGTGACGTGACCTCTGAGGAAAGCCAAAGAACAATGAATCATAAGGAACAACTGATGCCAAACTCTGGGGAACTTGGTACTCACTTATGAGCTCTGATGGTTTTCATACACTCCCACTTCTTTGTGCTCCACACACACAGCAGCCCATCTTCTCCTCCACTCAGCAAGTGAGACGAACCATAGAACTCGAGGCAAGTGATGGAACCTGTGGAGCAAAGCAGTTACTAAAATAAAAGTTGCCCTAAAGTTTTCTTACCAAAACAAAAAACTTTCTTTTAATTTTTGAGCCTTTCGTACCTTCATGATGTAGCAAGGCTCCATGCTCTGTTTTCTTTTTCATATCGTACAACTGGATTGTTTCATCTTTGCTCCCTGTGACCACAAACCTTTCGCTGGCTGCTACAGCTGATATTGAAGCTGTGTGAGCGTGGTGTGTAAAATCAGCCTTGGCAGTCCATTCCTGTAAAAAAAAAAGAAAAGCAAATATGCTGTAATTTCTAAAAAACTGTTTATTCATCTTAACATTCAGTATTATTTGCAATCATCTTTTAATATCTATTTAGCAATAATGCACTTTGTACAGTTCACCAGCAAGACCAGCAGGAAATCGATCCCACGGCATGATACTTCTGCTACCATGCTTAGCAGTTGGTGCAGCCTTCTTACCTTCAAAAGCCTCAATTTGATTCCTTCAAACTTGGTTTGATAAAGGTTTACTGTCAGTTATTCCCAAATTAGAAAATGTAGGTATAAGGAGAAATTTAACAAAAACCAAATGTTCAATTTCAAAGATCACAAAATATAATCTCGAAGTAGCAGTGCCACTTATTTCACAATGACATCCCACCCCCTCCTAAAATAAAAATAATAATAATAAGTCCACTTACGTTATCTTCCGTGTTTACACGATATCCGAAGGTGATTTGCTCATAGCTGCCAGCAATGAGCTCCAACACAGCGACCATGCTGCCCTGCTCCCAGCAACAGGGATGAGCTGCTAGGCTAGCTTTTTATTTAAGTTTCCTCACTAACAACGGAGACGCCAATTGTTAGTGACAATCCCTTAAATCCTAAAGTGACGCATACATCAATTATAAAAAGAATAAAAATTGAACAAAAACCACTAATAGAATAGAGGGCATGAACCGCTAGTTTCTTCTGTGTAGCTAAACATGCCTCACTACAAAACAACGTGTGTGTAGAGCGCATGCGCTGAGCGTGATTCCTTCCGGTTGATGTGGGATTTCAAGTTAAAAGCCGGTTGAGGAATAAACAGGTAGTGCTCAAGAGTGTAGTTATAAAATAGGTTAAAAAAATATACAGATAAAAAAAACATATAGATTTATATAGATAAAGTAATCTTTTGCACAAAAAATACAAATTTCAAAATAAACTTTTCGGTTTAAACAAGTTTTTTCTTAATTAAATTAAGTTACTAGTACTTCTTTATAATGTTACTTAAGTTACAGAAAAATTGTGGTTCGGTAAAACTACTTCTGAAAGCAATTTATTTTCACAACTTTACTCAAGTAAATGTCTCTGAATGAATGTAACCACATACCTATCTCTGGCAAAAAGATATGTGTATTATGAAACAGGGCTGCAAACTATGTAAAGGTTTTGTTGTTTTATTTAAAAGTTTAAATATTATTTAAATTTCTTAAAGAATTTAATTCTGAAGTGTCAGTGAAGAAAAAAATATATTTCTAAATGAACATGATCAAATAATGAAATTATTACTAACTAAAATATAAAAGATTCCTAAATCCACCTGTGTTTAATTCAATCTCAGTATAAATCCAGCTGTTTTGTTAAAGCTTTAGAGTTGTATTAGTGAACCTAAACAAAGAGCACGGTGATGATCAAGGAAAACACCAGACAGGTCAGTGATAAAGTTGTGGAAATGTTTAAAGCATGTTTGATTATATAAAATGGTGCCAAGATCTTAGTATCTTACAGAACAATTTTCAAAGCAAAGAAACCAGACACAAGCATCCACCTAAAGTGAAACATACTCAAGGAAACAACTCATCAGAGAAGCAGCCAAGATAAATCAGGAGGAGCTGTAGAGATCTACAGCTCACTGAGCAGCATTTGTAAACAAGGTTTTATTGTAGACTGCCAAGTAAAAAAGAAATAGTTAAAACAACCCATGTAAGTCCTGTTTGAAATTTATCAAATGCAATAGAGGAGCCAAAGGACACAGGGGAGTGGCAGCCTAGTGGTTAGAGCATAGTTCGAGCCCCAATGCCACAGACTGCCACTCTGGGTCCCTGACATAAAAGGCCCTTAACATTGTAATAACAATAAAAGCTGGGGAAAAAAGTATAAAACTGAATAATATAATATGAATATAATACTGAAAGGAGAGTTTTTTTTTTTTTTTTTTTTTTTTACTTTTGGAAGAGGTTAACCTCTCATTGGAACAAACAACTAATCACAAAAAAGAAAAAAAAAAAAAAGAAAGCGGAATGTTTGGACTAACAAAAGAGAAATGAAATTGAAACTATATTTTCTGATCACATGTGAAAATAGATGAATGGCATTTCCCCCTTACCTCATGTGCAGTTTATCCCACACATTTTCATTTAAATCTATTTTCTGTACCGTGAAAAACTGTTTAAAAAAAAAAAAACATACTGGACCCTTTTTTCATCAAAGAGCCTTGTGGTTTACATTTGTTTTGTATTACAATCTATGTTTCATAGTTTGGATTTGAGCTTAAGACCATGGCTTTACTATAAAAAAGAATGTATCTTTTGTCTGTTGCTTTTATTGAAGGATGTAAATATTGGTTACAGAAGCGCCTAAGTCAGAAACAAACCCGCCCACTTAATGACTCGGGAAAGGGAGGGATATGCCACATTTGACACTTGTGATTGGCTAATGTCTGTACATACGTCATGATTGAAGGCTCAGATAACTGTTCTGCTCTGAGACAAAGTCAGAAGTAGTCAGGAGTCAAATCTTCCACTAAAAAGAAACCATGGCTAACGGGTAAGCTTTCAAATCAAACCTGCATTTCTTTCTATCATCGTTTTTAATTTCTCATAAACATGTTAATGTTTAATAAACTTTTAGTTGGTAAAAGCTTTAAAATTCAAAAAACTTTTAAATGTAGACATATTAAAAAGCTGTAAGATGACACTCCTTTTTAGGGATGTTTTTCCTTTAAGCCAAACTAGCTTTCTCATCGGGGCTATAACTATATATATAACAATAAAGTACAACCATTAAGCTCTAAATATGTGGATATTTCATGCAGGGATCAGAGCTGCTGTCGATTGCTGCTGCAGGATCTGGTACTAATTAGTGGGTTTCATTATACAACACAGGACATAGTTGATTTTATTTCCTATGCTGCCATTTTCAGAGCCAAAGAAAGAACAGAGAAGTTTTTTTTTTATTTTTGCTCCTTCCTGTCATCTGGTTCTTACTCACCATCTACAGCTCTTACATGGCATTGACAGTGTGGTTTTATTACACATTTATGACTGATTATCTACAGTTCCAGATAAAGACAGTGCAGAGAACGCCATCTGGGAGCTCATTATATTGTTATAAGATTAAAAAAGGGTAATGCATGAGTTTTCCTAATGTTGATTTGGGATGTCCACTCTGCCATTGCATTTATTCCAATAAAACATGAACACAAAGTACTTGGAAACAGCGATAATAAAAAAAAGGTCTTGCATTGAAAATTAGATGAATACCTCATGGTTATCAGCATGGTGTTTCCAAGGTAACTGACTGAAACAAGAGAGGGGATTTCCTCAACAATCATAAGAGCTTCCCCCCAACCCTCTATTTGTAAAATTAACCAGTTAAGACTTCCTCTTTTATCACAAAGGTTGCATTATGCTACAGGATCACCCCATATAGCAGTAGATTATGCATTTTATGGTATCCGGGAATTTGCTATTGTTAGTAAGCCTTTTTCCAAAACTTTTTTTTTTTTTTTTGGTTTTTATTTTAAACACTGAAAACAAACTGGCTTTACTCCAGTCACACAAAAGGTTGCTCTCACCTGTTCAAAACATGAAAACTGAAACTACAGATGCATTTAAATTCCTTGGACAATTCGTATGATGCTGTAACAGTAATCAGTGTTTTTTTCTTAGGTTGTTTTTGATAGACAAAAAGAACCACAAAATGCTTGCCTTCTCTGAGTCACATATTTTGTTCAATCACTAAGAGGAGAAAAGCTGTTCGTTAGCCAATTTATCTTAGTAAAATAGGCCAACATCCGTTGGATTTGATGATGAGGCTCTGTGTAGATCAATTGTAATGTCTTTCAGTAGATTCCTGATTAGATTCTGGTTTGTACTTTGACTGAATCACTGGAACACACGGATATGCTTTGATCAAAGCCATTCTATTGTCTCCCAGTGGATTGAAACTATCCAGGGTTTTACTGCCTCCAAATGTTTTTTTCCTAGGTTTGCTCTGTATTAGTGCCATCCATGCTCCTGTTAAGTCTGCTTTAAGGACAAATCCCCACCCAAAAAATTTAAATTCCCACAGCATCATGTTACTACCACTGTGTTTCACAATGGAGATTATTTGTAATCGTTTAATTTACGCTCCACACACAGTGTTCTAATATGGTCTCATCAGAGCACCTTTCTCCAAATGTTTTCTGGGTTTCCCATGGCTTTCTTTTTTGCCACTCTTCCCAAAATAGTCAGATTAGAGGAGTGCATAAATACAGTTTAGTCTTGCATCTGGTCAACTGCAGCTCCTTCAGAGTCACAACGAGGATCTGCGCTTCTTGTCCAATTAAATACTTTCTTTCTTTACTTAAGTAGCTTTTTTCGTCACCTATACTTTACTTAAGTATTTATTTTCCAGAGGACTGTTTACTTTAACTTAGTACATTTAAAAAACAAATATCTGTACTTTCTACTCCTTATTTTCTCAAAACTGGCTTGTTACTTCTATGCATATTGATAACGGGCTGCAACAAAATGAGGAAAATAAAGAGCCCAAGGATAATCTGTTCAGTTGGAGCTCAGGTGTTTATAGATAAACACGGATCTGAACTGGGGGCTGAAAAACGTTGCAGCTGATTCTGAGACTCATAACATCTATTCATTCTGCCTTTTGCAACTTTAATGCTGTGAATCCCACTCACTTTCCTGTACAACATTTATACTTCCTGTTTATACAAGATTTTAGATTCCAAACTGTTTATTGTGTAGACATAAGGATGTAAGATGAGACTTTCTGCTGTGTTTATGCATGTTTTTTCCCCTTCAGACAGACTGTCTTTCTGATCAGGACTAAGAGTCGCTCTAAAAGTATTCAAGCAGGACCTTTGTTCAGATCAATCTATTTGATCCTGTCTGAAATTTCAATTTAGAACAAAACTAAATTGTGTCAATATATAGTTTTCTCTACCAGCATTGTGAGTAAAAGAGGAAAATGAATCCACTTTCTGTGCATAAAACTGTTTTTAAGAATTTAGAAGTTATCTTAAGCCAAAAACATTTTGATTTTGTGCTTCAATATAATGCAGAACCTGTAATTTTCTAATTCAACTTAGGTAAAGGAGTTCAATCATTACTTTTACAAGTCTTTTTACACAGGTATCTGTACTTTTACTTAAGTAAAGTACTTTTAACATCTATGTTGTTAGTGTAGGTAACAGCTGTGTTTTGGAGCTGTGCTACACTGTCAACATTTTTGGATAATGAACAGTGATTCAAGATATTAAAAAAATAATTTAGCAAAATAATTCTGCTTTAATCTTTTTCGTGGCTATTCCTTAGCTGTATGCTGTGGCCCTTGGATTTTATTATGCTTTTTTTGTTCAATAATATATGTCTTAAAAAAAACCAGCTGGATTTACTAATGCTTCATGCTTTTTTCTTGCCTCACTGATATGCTTCCAGGTTTTTGCTGCAACACCTGGTCTTTATCAAGTCATTTACCACATAGGCATAAAGCACCTGGGTTTGCTCTGTCTGATTGGTATCTCTAGTCTCTTTAAACTGATGTCATGCCAAGGCCAGTCTGGTTTCCATTACCTTTTCTTGATAAAGATTTAAGCATACTGACCAAACTTAAGTTGTTTCATGTGAAAAGAAAATGATCTATATTTTTTATTATTTGATTCAATGATACAATTGCATTAAGGCAGATTCTGGTATTGTGAGGGTTTATTCAGATATTGTATGTTTTTTTCAAAGTTATTTCCTCTAATAATGGTCTTTTAAGATATTTGTTCAAAGCATATAATGGAGCTGGAGCTGGATCTTATATTGAAAATTTAAGCAATGGAAACTAGTAATGTGTTTTCTTGTTCATCCGACAGTCGACAGGCTAACCGGGAGCTGACAGAGGTGCTAAATGAACTATGGCGTCTGGACACAAACCGTCTAAAGCCGGGGACTGATTACAGAATTTCTCTCCAGGTCAGTCCTCCAAAGTAACTCAAGACTGGTGGAAAAACCCACCTGGCATCAAACAGATCAGCTTCAGAACCTATGTAATATCATCTGAGCTGTTGCAATTTAAAGGGCACAAAGTTAACGGAAACCTAATTCTGGTGATGGAAATACATTTTTTGTTCTTGTGATCATTCATCCTTAGTAGTTGGATATTAAGACAGAGTGCTGTCTGGAGCGGTTGATTGCTAATAGGATGTACAAAGAGACTAAGAATGTGTCAAAAACTGTCAGTGTCATATTTCGAAAAGAACAACTCTGAATCAGGGTAACCCCGGAGACAGTAAGTTTGGTTAATGAAAAGCTTTATTTAATACAGAACAGGAAAAGGTGTCTGGCAGGATCTTCCTGGGTTCTGCTTTGGGAAAAGATAGGTTGATGGTGAATAACTGGTCAGAGGAGGTGGGAAGGTGGAGAATGCTAAACTCACAGGGTTTGAGGTTGTTTTTGGTTCTGAACTTATTTATTTGTTTATATTTCAGGGACAGTACACATTAATGAAGATTTCAATAAATATGTCAGTGTTAACTATGAAGCTAGTTTTCAACTGTTGACTCTGGGCAATCTGTATAATCCCGACAACAATTATTAAACAAACAGACAATTAAAAAAACAAGGGCAGATCATATAGATCAGAGACATTAGCATAGATATGTGTAGATATTTACAAAGCAACGTCCGATCCTGACATTTGGCTTAGTCATGCACCAGGAGATCGGTAAGGTCTAATGAGTACATTGTTGATTTGATTTGATTGTTACCAGTTTTTTTTTAACAGAGTTCTGAATGTGATAAAAGTGGAGGATTCTCTGACAGTGAGAGGGATGCTACAGATGTTACAGCTCCTGACTGAAAGAACTATCTGGCCAAAGGTGGTCCGTTTGAAGGGCACTTCAGTCTCCTCAACAGTAGACAGGGGCTTTTCTAGAAGAGGATTTCAGTTTTATGAATTCTCTTAATTGTGTTGGTGCAAGTCCTTCAAGCGCTTTCTATACCATGCAAGCAAATTTAAGGTTTAAAATTCTCAGGACAAAGTTGAGGAGATTGCAAGTCTCTGTTGGAGCCCTTTGTTGTGCTTGGGCTACGTGATTGGTCTTTTAAATCATAATGGGAGTGCACACGTAATTTCTTGGGAATGGGTTTGATGACTGGATCGTAAATTAGTTTTGCGAGAGTTGTGTGTGATGATATTTCTGCTCTGTTACCTTTTCCTTATTTTGTTTTTGTATTCTCAGGGGAAAGCGGGTTACGTGGCTCAGGGCAGTAACTACGCTCGAGATCGGGCCCACGCTCCTCTCTTTGCATATGTTAACGAGGACAAACTGAAGAGCATTGAGACATTTTCACGTTAGTATCAACTTAACTAAGTCTTCTGTGTAATATTTTTTTTCTCACTATAATCGTTTTTTTTTTTTTTACTTTGCTTTTATAATATCTGTTCCTTTTCAATGCAGATTTTATCAATCTGCTGGACAACTATGAGATGTCTACTGGCGTGTCAGAGATGGTCACCTCTGAGGAGCTTCAGGAGAACAGGGTCTTTATTGATGCCATCATGGAGACTGATGTCATGAAGGTACAACCGCTTTTTGACATGTACATCGGGGGGAAATCTTTAAAGAGTCAAAGATTTGCAAAGGGAATTAAAACTACCAGAGTAAAGAGAACATGTGTATATACATCCTTCTGAAAATATTATCATATTGTGATAAAGTTAATTATTTTCCCTAATGTAATGATAAAACTTGAANTTTTTTTTTAACAGAGTTCTGAATGTGATAAAAGTGGAGGATTCTCTGACAGTGAGAGGGATGCTACAGATGTTACAGCTCCTGACTGAAAGAACTATCTGGCCAAAGGTGGTCCGTTTGAAGGGCACTTCAGTCTCCTCAACAGTAGACAGGGGCTTTTCTAGAAGAGGATTTCAGTTTTATGAATTCTCTTAATTGTGTTGGTGCAAGTCCTTCAAGCGCTTTCTATACCATGCAAGCAAATTTAAGGTTTAAAATTCTCAGGACAAAGTTGAGGAGATTGCAAGTCTCTGTTGGAGCCCTTTGTTGTGCTTGGGCTACGTGATTGGTCTTTTAAATCATAATGGGAGTGCACACTTAATTTCTTGGGAATGGGTTTGATGACTGGATCGTAAATTAGTTTTGCGAGAGTTGTGTGTGATGATATTTCTGCTCTGTTACCTTTTCCTTATTTTGTTTTTGTATTCTCAGGGGAAAGCAGGTTACGTGGCTCAGGGCAGTAACTACGCTCGAGATCGGGCCCACGCTCCTCTCTTTGCATATGTTAACGAGGACAAACTGAAGAGCATTGAGACATTTTCACGTTAGTATCAACTTAACTAAGTCTTCTGTGTAATATTTTTTTTCTCACTATAATCGTTTTTTTTTTTTTTACTTTGCTTTTATAATATCTGTTCCTTTTCAATGCAGATTTTATCAATCTGCTGGACAACTATGAGATGTCTACTGGCGTGTCAGAGATGGTCACCTCTGAGGAGCTTCAGGAGAACAGGGTCTTTATTGATGCCATCATGGAGACTGATGTCATGAAGGTACAACCGCTTTTTGACATGTACATCGGGGGGAAATCTTTAAAGAGTCAAAGATTTGCAAAGGGAATTAAAACTACCAGAGTAAAGAGAACATGTGTATATACATCCTTCTGAAAATATTATCATATTGTGATAAAGTTAATTATTTTCCCTAATGTAATGATAAAACTTGAATATTCATATATTTTAGATTCATTGCACACTAACTGGAATATTTCAAGTCTTTTTTTGTCTTTATACGGATGATTTTGGTATACAGCTCATGAAAACCCAAAATTCCTATCTCACAAAATTAGCATATTTCAAGAAAAGTGTTCTTAATACAAAAAAAGTCAACCTTCACATAATTATGTACAGTTATGCACTCAATACTTGGTTGGGAATCCTTTTGCAGAAATGACTGCTTGAATGCGGCGTGGCATGGAGGCAATCAGCCTGTGGCACTGCTGAGGTGTTATGGAGGCCCAGGATGCTTCGATAGCGGCCTTTAGCTCATCCACAGTGTTGGGTCTTGCGTCTCTCAACTTTCTCTTCACAATATCCCACATATTCTCTTTGGGGTTCAGGTCAGGAGTGTTGGCAGGCCAATTGAGCACAGTGATAGCATGGTCAGTAAACCATTTAGCAGTGGTTTTGGTTCTGTGAGCAGGTGCCAGGTCGTGCTGAAAAAAAATGTCTTCATCTCCATAAAGCTTTTCAGCAGATGGAAGCATGAAGTGCTCCAAAATCTCCTGATGGGTGGCTGCATTGACCCTGCTCTTGATGAAACACAGTGGACCAACACCAGCAGCTGACATGGTACCCCAGAGCATCACTGACTGTGGGTTCTTGACACTGGACTTCTGGCATTTCCTTCTCCCCAGTCTTCCTCCAGACTCTGGCACCTTGATTTCCTAATGACATGCAAAACTGAGCAACAGTCCAGTGCTGCTTCTTTGTAGCCCAGGTCATGCGCCTCTGGCGCTGTTTCTGGTTCAAAAGCTGCTTGACCTGGGGAATACAGCACCTGTAGCCCATTTCCTGCTCACACCTGTGCACGGTGGCTCTGGATGTTTCTACTCCAGACTCAGTCCACTGCTTCCACAGGTTCCCCAGGGTCTGGAATCGGCCCTTCTCCACAATCTTCCTCAGGGTCCGGTCACCTCTTCTCGTTGTGCAGCGTTTTCTACCACACTTTTTCCTTCCCACAGACTTCCCACTGAGGTGCCTTGATAAAGCACTCTGGGAACAGCCTATTCATTCAGAAATATCTTTGTGTGTCATACCCTCTTGCTTGAGGGTGTCTATGATGGCATTCTGGACAGCAGTCAGGTCGGCAGTCTTACCCATGATTGGGGTTTTGAGTGATGAACTAGGCTGGGATTTTAAAGGCCTCAGGAATCTTTTGCAGGTGTTTAGAGTTAATTTGTTGATTCAGACGATTAGGAGCATAGCTCGTTTAGAGACCTTTTTCATAATATGCAAATTTTGTGAGATAGGAATTTGGGGTTTTCATGAGCTGTACTGTATGCCAAAATCATTCATATTAGGACGATAAAAGACCTGAAATATTTCAGTTAGTGTGCAATGAATCTAAAATATATGAATGTTCAAGTTTTATCATTACATTATGGAAAATAATGAACATTATCAAAATGCTAATATTTTGAGAAGGACCTGTATATACATGGATGCATTACAATGCATCCAAGCACTGTTGTGCAAAATATACTATAATCCTGGGCTTTAAAATGGCAAAAAAAAAAAAAAAAATCAAACACAAGTCTGATTCTTAAAGTGATGCCTTTTTGGGGCAAACATCGATTTTAATAGCTCTTTTATTATTCTATTTTTTTCGAGGTATGGGATATATTTGTTTAATTACGTATATGTGCAGAACACCAACTGAAGTAAAAAATTAATTCAATTTATAATTCAATTAAGAATCATCTGATTTTCTTTGCTTTTTTTGCTGTGCAGTATAGAGCTTTGGATTTTGTATTGATAATGTTGCAGAACTGTAAGATCAAAATATCATCTTAAATCAGTCAGTTGGCAAAAGCTTTTTAACTGCAGCAAATCACTTTTAAAAGCCCAAATAATAACTTTTCTTCTTTTTTTGTTACTCAGTGTGCTCACAACTATCTAGTGAAGAAAGGCCAGTCACCTGCAGACCCTGGACAGTTTAAGAGACAGCTGTATGACATCTGGTTTCGCCTCTACCATAGAGACAGGAGTGGAGGGTGAGTGTTTCTGAAAGCAGGGGGCGCTACTCCAAAGGAAAAGCTTGGAGGGTGAGATAGGCATGTTTATCAATTGAATAACAATCAGAATGTATCCTGCAGGTTTTTCTTTTTTTTTTTTACTATTTTTTTTTTCTTTTAAAATATATAAATATAATGCATATAAAATATTTTTAAAAGATTTATAAAATGCTTTCATTCAAAATGTTTGGAATGAGAAACTCCAAAATCAACATAGGTTTTGGTATTTTTTTAAGTCAAGTTTGCACAACTTTTAAATCAAAGGATCTATTGCATGTAGGGTTGGTGTCTGTTATTGTATAATTGCATAACTTGTAGATGAGGGGAAATCATTTCAGAAATGTTTTTTAATTGGGACAGAAAGGAAAAATAGATGCATGTTTTACTCCTTTTAGAGAAGACTCGTGTGGCTTTGAGCACGTGTTTGTTGGAGAGACTAAATACGGCCAGGAGATCATGGGTCTGCACAACTGGGTGCAGTTCTACCTGCAGGAGAAGCACGGCCATGTTGACTACAAAGGCTACAAAGCGAGGGACAATAAAGACACAGTAAGAACGTACTGCAGGTTTCTTATTCATTTGGAATTCAATTTAAGTATTTTCCTATTGAAAAGGGGAAACAAATGTATGGAGAAATTTTTATTTCCTGATATTATGCCCCGTCTCATTTTTAAAAGTTGGTTTCATGACTATTTCCGTTTCCTCTAAGCATATATTCATATATTCATCTTCAATCGAAATAGTTTCCATGTTTTGAAGATTTCATATTTGAAGCCTGATACTGAGATTATGACATGATATTAATAGAAAACATCTCTAGTCATAACGGTTTGAACAAATCCTCTCATAATTTAACAAAGTCTATTTTTAGTGTGTGAAAAGTATTTTGATCACAGAATATGTAAATTTATGTAAATGTGAATTTCATCATGTGTCGAATTGAGCTGTCTAAAATATCTAAACCTTAAATCTTTTTTAATAGCCTGATGAGGATGACCATGTCCTGAACCTGCAGTTCAGCTGGAAGGGTCTGGTAAAGCCAATCGGCGGCTCCTTCATCGGCGTCAGCCCAGAGTTTGAGGTTGCTCTGTTCACCATCATCTTCCTCATGTCGACTGAGAAGATGACATCAGTGGTGGCGAAAGTGGACGAGTACGTGTTGGAGTTTGTGGTCTACCGGCATGGCCGCTCCATTGGCACGTCGTACCCCAAACTGCTCAGCAGCAATAACAGAGATCTGTAGTTTTTCAACCAAGCATGGAGACGGTTGTTTTATATGCACTAAAGCTAAGGCTATAAATGTCTGTTAATTAAAGGTTGATAACAGTGAAGGATTTTATATGATCATATTTGTTATGTTACAGAATATGTATTTGTTACAGCAGTTATTCCTTTTGTAAGAACATTTATAGCAGAAACGTTATAAATAAATAAGCATTTTTGCAAAGAGGTTTGAATTTCATCTGTGTTTTAGAGGTTAATTACATCTAAAGTATTTTAGAAAATTATGTTTTTTGCTGCTGGTTCAAAAAAAGTTAAACCTGTATTTATAGCATAGATGTTACACCATGTTTCCCACCTATGAACCATTCTTTGTTTTGCTTTATTGAAATGAGTTTCATTTTACGTACCACCTTAAGGGTTTTTGAGGAACGTTTACATTTTGAACTCTGCCACCAGTTTTTCACCTGCAGAAATGAAGGGTGAGCCCTGAGCAGAGAGTCAGTCCTACATAAGCCTCTTTTCATGCAATGTCTTGAAACTATAACTTGTTTAGGAAGCCAGGGCTTAATAGTGAAATGACTGGCTTATAGGGGTAGATGGTTTTTTTTTGATACAACTAGCAATTATTCTTAATATATTAAAATATGACACTCTGGGTTTTTCATACTTTGCAGCTTTTTCATTTTTTCAAATTTTACTAATTTGATTAGTAAAATTTGTAAAAGTATTTCCATCTTTAAGCTGGAATTAAGCCCTCTTTAGCCACAACCTTTATAGGCTTTTGTGAAGGGAGACTCTTATTGCATACTGTTTAACAGTTAACTTCTGAAGCAAAATACCCCTATTGAAATAAGCCTTAACGTACTATATCAAATTCACAAAGTAAATGTTGGGGTTTTATTAACTGTATCCCTCAGTCATCCAAATGAACAAAACGATTGAAATCTATGTAATGACCCTGTTATGAATGTATTCATATTAGTCTGTATCATTGTTTTATGTGGGGAGAAATGTGTTTCTACTCCCCTTAATGAAAAACAGAAACATTGGTAATATACTATAAAGATAAATAGAACAAATGTTTTATAATAATAGAGCAAAGCCAATTCTAAATCAAATTGATCTTAGTCAATTTCACAGTTTCACAAATCCACAAAATGAAAATGAAAACTAACAAAGATTAGATATAAATCAAAAGATATTTTAAAACATGAAGTTATAACACTGTTTTAAGATTTTAATAGGCTCATTACGTTTTCACAAAGCCATGCCACTGCTGTGCCGTTGCAAAGCTTAGTGCCGCACTCTAACAGTTATCCCTCTTTAACCACAACTTTAAAAATCTAACACTAAAACTAACGTCTCAAGACTCATACCGAAACTTAAAGAGGTCATATAGCGCCCCCTGGGGGTCACAAAATACGATGTAACGCCTCTAAGAGAGAATTTATCAGTGATGGTACCCTTATTAAACCATTGCTTTAAGTGGCCAATTAATATCGCAATTAATTGAGATTCCATTGTAGGCTAATAAAAAGGAAAATCAAAATTATATGTAATCAAATACAAAGCGTTCAGGCTCTCCTGCCTGTCAGACAATATTCAGGGAAAAACGGTCCTGCCTGACGCCCTCTCGCATTGCGCATGCGCATTCAAACAAGCAACGTCAAACCGCAGAAATAAAGCTGTTGGTAGAACTATCTCATGAACTGGTGAATGAACAGGTAAACATTCCCAACGGAATTTCCTTTTAACTGTGATTTTTAAAATAGTCATCGCGGGTGAGGGTAAAAAGAGGTTTTATGGTGTTGAATCAACTTTTTAAGTTGGTTGAAAGTAGCATATTTAGCTAACGGCTACAGCTCTGGTCAGTTGGCAGCTCGTTGTCCCACAGCGAAGGTTGGGAGCCACCTGACAACTGCTCACATGATTTCAACTAGTGAAGCCAAAATACGAATAGCAAGGAAGTGTCTATTTAATTTTTAATTGCTCTTTGCGTTATAGGGCTAGTTCGGATCAAACGGTTGCCGCGGAGGTGTTTAATAACAAAACCACAACAAAAACATGTTTGGTAGAAAGAAGAAGGCGCCGATGCCCAAAGGACAGGGCGCTGCAGCAGCCAAACAGGTAACCAAAATAACATGAAACACATCAAGCAGGGGGATTTAATGTTAAAGCTGAAAACGTGTCTTTTCTAGATGGGGTTATTTGTAGACCTCAACCCTGAAGAGATGATGATGGATGCGGATGAAAATCTGGACGACCCAGATCTGGAGGCTGAACTTGCTGCTATTACTGGAAATACAGTTATTACAAAGGGAAGAGTCAAACCCAAGGGGAAAAGTAAGCTCAGTTTTTTTTGTTTTTTTTATGAAATCATGTAAACAAACACATTTCTGATCTTTTTAAAAAATATTCTTTGTTTTATGTTATTGATATTTCACCTGATTGATGGAGATACAACAAATAACATTTAATATTCATTGTTCATATTTGTTATAGTTATTTTACCTTGATGTTTTATCCTGAGTTAGTAATATATATTAATCAGAAATGTGTATCACATTCAAAACTTAGAATTTGGTAACACTCTTACATCTGGTTAAAAGTTTGGCTTATTTGTTTGTTCCTGATGGCAGCAGCCATACTGAATTCTTTATGCTAATAATATATGTTCACAGCGTTGGATCATTTGCCTAGAGCTCAAACATTTCTTGTATTTCTCCTTCCTCCATCACACAGTATAGTGATATTTCTGTTACGGCCAATAACCGATTTTTGAAGCTCATTAGATTTGAAAACAAAAAATATTCTTTCAGAACATTCCCACTCATACTTGTTTGTTTTAAATTACCCTGCAGCAGTGGTGGTTTTTAAAAATGTCCATAATTTCATTTTTAAAAATCTTTTAATTGATGGGAATTTTATAATATCAGCTCATGGTTCCTTTGTACCAGTTGCATCCATGCTGCTGAACTAACTTTTTCTTAAGGTGGTTTTATGGAAATCTGTTTGAATCTATCCATGGCCATGGATCATATATCCTTGGATGATTGTTGATAATAGGTCTAAACAAAGCGTAATGCTCTACCTTCAAAACAAACAATATCAAACTGGTTTACCTCTTAAAAGCAAGCAACATCATACATCTTGTAAAGCAATGATTACCTTCAAACAGTTGGAACATCTGTGTAGTCCTCTGTTCTTTAATCTGCAACAACCATGAGTTTTATGCCGATGGTCCCATTTCTTTTATTGATTGATTAAAGACCTCCTGATGTTTGGGTGCATTTACAATGGACCTGAATGATCAGACTACTGCAGAAGAATATATGATAAAAAATTCACATTTCCAAATGTAAATGTTTTGGGTTAAATTAAAAAATGAAATTTAATTCCTGGATCCAAAGTTTCCATGAAGAGACTGAGATTTCAGAGATCTGAATTATAATATTACCTGGATCAGACAGTGCTTGTTGAACTCTGTTTATAGTTTAAATCTGGCTGAGCTCATTGTAGACATTTTTCTAGTTGGTTTTACTTTCTTTTGTAGTTGTTTTTGAGTATTTTTAAATATATAGTTGTGTTTTGGTTTTGCAGGTAAACTTTGCAATTGCAAATTTTAGATAAAAGTGTTGTATTTTATTTTGTGTAGAAAACCGAGCCATGACATCATTTATTTGAGACTCACCTCTGTACTTGTAAGCTAAGGAGATTTTGAAATGTAACCCCATTAGCTCCCAACCCTGCTCCCCCTCCCCTCCTGAAGGAGCTGAAAGCCATATCTCCTATACATGCTTGCATGTGTAGTACAAGCAATGTGAATATAGAGCGTAATTGCATTGATCTGGCGTAGAACAGAAAGCCGATGCCACTTAGTCTACATTATATACAATGTAACATGAATCCTCTGGTGTTTACCTGCTATCCCGTCCACATTTAGCTTGAAGTAAAAGTCACAGTCACAAGTTAAAGTACTGTCTATCAGGCTCACAAGTGTCCTGATAGACAGTACAGGATACAAGTCAGCATTCAAGCTAATGGGATAAACACAGTATATTACCACATCTACAAAAAAATATATTTATTAGTTAAAAAATCTTTGTTTTAAAAATGCTAGAATACAATAGATTATAAATATTTTCCAAAGCAACTGTAGACTTAGCAGTTTTTCACCATTTAAGATCCTCCATCTTTAAAAGCATTGCCACTGAAAATCCTACCAGAAACGTTTAAATGTGCCTTTACGACTTTTATTGTCATTTTATACACACATAGTGTATACAAAATGAAATTTCGTCTAGTACAGCTTTTCAGTCAGTAAATGAACATTTCCATTCCATAAAGTGCAACAGTAATCAAACGTAAACAGTGTGAGAGAAAAAAATGGATTGATATGGAAGTTCAGAGCATTAAATATATATGGTGCAAACATGCAGTATTTTTTGGTTTGGTGTTATCATTGTGATGCAGAGTTTTTGACATGCCATGGGGGAAGTTTATAAGTATTTTCTATACTTTCTTTAATCTCTCCAGTTTGGTCTCTCCATTGACCACCCCCACCTTACAGCTCCCTTCAGTTAAATACACAATTATATTTCTTGGTCCAGGTTGTTTCCGTGCATTTCAGATTTATTAAGCAGTTGAGACCTGGAAATATCCCACAGTAAAATGATAATTATGACAGATTACACACTACATAATACAGCAGGTGCAGATAGTCAAATGTAAACCTTATTTATGTACTTATTTAGGACTTTATAGTTTATGTTGAACGTTTAATCGTATTGCAGCATTTTTATGTCAACTTCTAACACAAAATCAAGTATATTAAATAACATTTATTACCTAACCAATTGTTTTTAAAAGAAATACAATTTCTCACTAACAATTTCAAATATTTCCTAGGATGGGAACATGTAAGAATTCAGCTATTTAAAGCATTAAAACATGACTGCGTGTTTTTATATTTTAGGCCCTCTGCCCATGGAAGACATTGCTAAAATGGCGGATGAGTGCATGAGAGATGTGGATGAGGAGGAAGATGATGATAACTTTGAAGATGATGAAGATCTATTGGTTGGTGCTGTATATATTATTAAACCATGTTTTGCAACTTTTCTTTTACACAT